CGGTGCACGCAGGGGAGGCGGGCGCGGGCTGTGCCCCGGAAGCCAGCGGTGCCTGCCGCGTGGACGCCGTGAGTACCGAGAGCCCCAAGCCACTGGACTGTGGCCCCAAGCCCCGGGACCTAGACTCAGACCCGGGCCTCGGGCTCTGGGCCTCGACCCTGGACCCTGAGTCCTCAGACTCGGAACTCCTGGCGCTGCTGGCGAGTTCACACGCTTCCTGCGGGAACAAAGGCGGGCGTGGACCGGCCCTGGGCAGGCGGGTCTGGGGGCTCTGGGCCGGGCGCCAGGCCTGTGCATCTGCTAACAGCTTCCCGTGTTTGCGCGTGGGCATGGGCGTCCTCCTCCCTCCTCCTTGCCTGGCGCTGTCAGGCCCCCGTCAGGGAGGGCTGAGATGGGGGTGTGGCGGCGCCTTTGTTCCTACCTAGTCCTGTTTTAGGGGGCCCAGCGGCCTCTCCCATCCCTGCCAGGATGGATCTGGTGGGTGCCAGCCAGATAACCCAGGCAGACTGGGTCCTTGGGGGTGGCGACTTCCATCTCACGGGTTTCATGGAGGGTGCTGGTTTGCTAAGGGCAGGGAACGGTTTTCTTTATGTGTGTTTTTTGGGTTGGAGCTGTAGTGGCTGGAGTCCCAGATGCTCCATTACTGGCTCAGCAGGACACTGCTCTTTCCCATCCAGTTCTACTGGGGCCCTAGGAGGGACCTGGCCAGGGGCAGGCAGAGGCGAAGCAGTACAGGGTGGGGGTACGGTTCAAAATGCCCAGAGGTGAGGAAGTTCCTGGATTGACTGGGTACTTGGGTTGCCTCACAGAAGAGGTCTCTCCATCTGAGTCTTGAAGGATAAATAGTTCTACATGTAGAAATGAGCAGAGGTCTTTGCAGGCAGGGGCCAGAAATGCGAGACAGCCTGGCAGGTCTCAGGGACAGCAGCTGGGGCATAAGGGACTGGGGTAGGAGATGGGGCCAAAGCTGGGGCCTGGGTCGGCCCCAAGGCAATCATCTGTTCCCCAGTGACCATGTGCTATGTGGTCCCCCTGGGGCTCAGGTGAGGAAGGTGAGTGATGCCCCAGGGTGATGGGTAGAGACCAACCAACCCCCTAAATGGTTACCCAGACACTGCTGATGAGGGTGTTCTATGTGCCAAGATGTGTCCACTCTGTCCTCCCATGCTATCGGTCCAGAAACCAGAGCTTAGAGGCCCATTAGAAAGTCAAGCCAGGACGAGAAGCCCAGGTCACTTATCCGGGGAACTGGAGGCTCTTAGCTACTCGTTTTCCTGCTTCTTGGTCTTAGGGGACTTAAGAAACGGACAGAAGCCAGCTGAGGATGGGCATCTGGGGGCCATACCCGCACTCCTTCAGCATAGAGAATTAGAGCCTGCCCCAGCCTCTGCACCTCCTCAGGTTGTGACCCCAGTGCCACCTCTTCCAGGAACCCTTCCCAACTTACTATCTAAGGCAGGCCTCATTCTAGGCTCCAGCCTAAGGCCTGACTTACCTGGGCTGAGGGTTTCCTGAGCTCATTCACTGCAGGACCTCGGCCCCCATGGGGTCTGTACCCAGGAGGTGTCCACACCTACTACATGATAATAAAGAGACAGATTTAGCTCTCAGGGTCCCTGGGAGTGGTATGTGACTGAGTGGACTAGGGGCTGACTGAGCAGACCAGATGGCCCTGTCTCTCCCCAGGGTCCCACTAGGAAATCTGGGGCCTCCAGAAAAGGGGTTTTCCTTGCCCCTCCTTGCCTTACCTTCCATGCTGCTTTCTAGATCGGGGCAGGGCCTTCCCTGAGAATCCCCAGTTAAGTCATCTCCTGTTCCCAAACCCTGGCTGAGCCCTGTTCCTTCTTTTATTACAGCTTCATGGCGGCTGAAGAGATGCACTGGCCTGTCCCCATGAAGGCCATCGGTGCCCAGAACCTGCTAACTATGCCTGGGGGCGTGGCCAAAGCGGGCTACCTGCACAAGAAGGGTGGTACACAGCTGCAGCTGCTCAAATGTGAGTCCCCTGGGTGGTGGAGAGCACAGTGGGGGGACCCGGGGGCAGAGCCTTCCCAGTGGCCCTCTAGGCCTACTAGGGCAACTGAGACCCCACTGAGTCTCTGCATCCTTATGTGATGGGTCTTCCAGAGTTCTCCTTCCTTCTCTCATGATCAGCAACCCCGGGGAAGCATCCCCCTATCCCCTGGGACTGTGCCAGGGCCCAGGGTGGCACAGATGGGCAAAGAGACAGGATGGGCATTTGGTGCACAGTGCTGAATAGCTGGCCAAGGGGGCTGCAGCCTGCAGCCAGGCTGGGGGACCGCAGGGTAGTCTAGTAGGTCTGGTCTTCAGGCATCTCCCTTGTCTTACCTAGAAGTGTTCAGTGAGCTGGTTGGTCACTTGGCCTGCAGTAAACCCAAGTTAATATCCAATTGGGTGCTGGACCTCAGAGCCACACAAGACCCAGGGGCCCAGAGCAGTAAGCTGTGAGAGGGAAGAAAGAAGCCCCCAGGCCTCGGAGAGGCCCAGTGTTAAGTCACTGAAAGCCAGAGAGTATCAGGGCCTGACCAACAGGTGCTCCCTGCCTTTATCCCAACTGTGCTTTCTGCCAGGGACTCCCTGGCCCTGTGCCACCTGGTTGAGATACCCTAGGCTGGACTCTTGGTTTTCATGTTGGCATCAATTTGTCTGGTTCCCTCTCTATTTGGAGAACTTCCATGGAGGGTTGTAACTGACTTATCCCCAGGCCTGGGGAGAGCTGCTTAGGGCTGGGCTTGGGGCATTGTCATTGTGAATGTCCAGCTAGAGGACAGCTCCACACTATGGCTGTCACCAGTAATCTCTCTGGGCTCCTCAGCCCTGCCTTTCTGGCTCTGCTGACATGAGATGGAGGGACCCTCGAGTAGCCTGGCAGAACCCAGTGAGGCAGATGAGGCTTCCCTGGGCCTCTTGTCCTTATGGTGGCTCTGTGTTGCCCTCCAGACCCAATCATTTTCTGTGGCTGGCCAGTCCTGCTCTGTGGGTGGCACTCCAAGTCTGGCCAGCATGCCCATGGATTTGTCCATATTTGGCCCCATCATAGAGCCCTAGGGAGCAGGCAGCATGCCAGCCCAGCCTAGCTCTGTGCTCATCCCTTCACCAGCACTTCTGGGGAGGGTCTCCAGAGTAGGTACAGCCCCTCATGTCTCACCATCCTGCCCTTGCTCCTCGGCAGGGCCGCTGCGCTTTGTCATCATCCACAAGCGATGCATCTACTACTTCAAGAGCAGCACATCCGCCTCCCCGCAGGGTGCCTTCTCATTAAATGGCTATAACCGGTAAGTGCCCATCCTTCCTGCTGGCCCTGTTCCTTACAGCCAGTGGTTTTCCTCCCAGCCCATCCTAGCAGAGCTCTGGCTCTTCCCACCCAAGTGAAGCCCAGGCTTTCCCAAGTGGCTTCCATCTCCTGCCCTCTCTGGGCTTGTCCCGTTCTGGTATACCCCTGTTCAGCCTCTGTGATGCCCTGCCCTCTCCTCATGTGCTTCCTCCAGACCTTGGCTGAGGACCTGGCAAGTGAAGCCAGGGCCTTCCTGTGGCTTCTTGGACATATTCCAAGCGCCTGGACAGGATGCTCTCCAGAGTCCCCATTGAACAACCACTTAATGTCTCTCATCTCAACCTTTCCAGCCTGTTCACTCTCCATAGCCTCTTTCTAGGAAGTCAGGAGCCCTGGCAGCCCAGGTGCCGTCCTAAACTTGGTCCTGCCCCAAGCTTCCCAGGCCGGGGGCTAGTTCCCTGCCTCCCACATGTTCTAGGCTCTTTCTAGTGAGGGGCCATGAGCCTGCCTTTAAGAGCCCTAGGGACTAATGGGTAGGTGTACACTTGGCTGGAGCTCTGGGTAGAATGGGGCAGGGGTGAATGTAGTCCCAGCTGGCCCACCCCACGGCCTTGAGGGCATGCAGTGCAGGCTCTAAGTGCTGGCTCCTGAGTCTGGTTCTGAGTGGGATACCACCTGGACCCTGCATTCTGCAGCATGAGGTTGGGCTTCTTATACCTTGAGGACCCAGCCCCTCCTGCCTATGAGAAACGAAGAGTCTCGAGGTATTAGCGATGGAATGGAGACCCTCAGGGATTTATTCTAGACCTGGTTTACCCCTGGCCACAACCTTTATAGGGAAGCTTTGCCAAAACTCCCAGCCCAGTTCCAGACAGGGAGGAATCTCATGGGTCCTGTGATTTGCAGGTAGGTGCCAGGTGACCAGAGCTCTGGGGTTCCCTAGGTAGGGTTATCCCCTTTGCCCAGACATATTGCCCTCCAGTCTTCAGTGTGTGCCAACCATGCCATGAACACTGGACCTAGTGGTGGATGCAGCTGTGCCTGGGAGCCTCTGGCTAGGCCCTCTGGTGGGCCATGCAGGCACACCTGCCCCAGGGCCTGGCCTGCAGGGCTTCCCACAGGGTAGACTGTTTGGTCTCTATGTAAACCTCACATCTGGGCTGGAGAAGCAAGTACAGAGCAGATATGCGTTATTCCCTGAAATGCATTCAGGCTGCCTCTGGGTGGCAGAGGAAGAGCAGGCTGACATAGAGCCTCATGAGAGGCCCCAACAGGCAGGCCAGCGGCCAGGCAAGGCCAGAGGTGGGAGGGCAGCACCCGTGTAAAGCAGCAGTTTTAGTGGACATTAAGGGTATCGTGTCCTCCTCTCCAAACCCTGCACACTGCTGCTTGCAGGAGGCCCTCCCACACCCTAGTACCCCTTTTGTCCACTCCCTGTCCTTGCCCACCCTCTCCCACTGGCCTGAAGCATCTGGTTGTCTGCACAGAACATCAACAGCCACCTAGATCTGTCCATGTCCCCTAGAGCATGGTGCTGGGGGCCATCTAGGGACCAGGGCTGTGATGAAGCTGTCCCTACGGGTATGGACCAGGTTGTAGCTGCTGGCTCTGTGCCCTCAGGGTGATGCGGGCAGCTGAGGAGACAACATCCAACAATGTCTTCCCCTTCAAGATCATCCACATCAGCAAGAAGCATCGCACGTGGTTCTTCTCAGCCTCCTCCGAGGATGAGCGCAAGGTGACCAGGGGTCATGGGGCCTACAGGCACCAGACTGGGCCTCGGGGAACCTGTCGGTCCCAAGACTTTGGCCTCCTATCAGCCCCAGGAAGGGAGTTACAGGGCCCTGTGCAGACCTCCAGGAGATGTGGCTGGGGCTTGGCAGCCGGGCAGAAGTTGCCCCTTAGGCTCCCATTCATGCCTCGAGCTTAGTGCCAGTGGTCCCCACACTCAGAATACCTTGGGGTGGTCTACCCTGACACTAGTGGTCGGTGCAGAGCTGCTGGGGCAGTGAGAGGAGGTGGGGGTGAGGGTGGGGGCCTGGGTCGGCAGCACCATGCTGACGTACCGGCTGACCCACAGAGTTGGATGGCCTTGCTGCGCAGGGAAATCGGCCACTTCCATGAGAAGAAGGAGCTGCCCTTGGACACCAGGTGGGCCTGGGGGTGGCAGGTGGGTGGGGGTCCCTAGGGCTCCAGGGCTTAACACCTGTGTCCTCCTCCCAGCCCCTAGGGGCTTGGCCTGGAAGCTCTTCCTGAAAGCTTCTTGGCAGTGCATGTGTGTACTATGTGAGCGGGCGTGCGTGCACGCTATCTTCCCGTGTTCCTGTCATCTCAGCTCCATTTCATCATCTCTCTGTGTCCCTGTCATTGGTCGTTCCTGTTCGGGGGATGCACTTGCTTTTACCCTTCCACCACCACCATCTGGGAGGTCCAGCTTTAGTTGCAGCTCAGAGCTTTGGGTTCCTAGTCCCCTAATGCCCACCCTGGTCTCTCAGAGCGAGACCAGAATGAATCTCTCAGGGAGCTGGCTCCGTCCTTCCAGGTCTCAGCAACCTCACCTGTGAGGTGGCCCAGCAATAGTGAGGGCTCTCTAGGCAAATCCTGTCTCTTTGTAGGTGAGGAAACCAAGACCCAGAGAGGGCTGGGCGCACTCACAGATGCCCTGCTGACCCCTGCCTGTCCCCTGGAGTTCCTGACCCTCAATCTAAGCTGGTATCTTACAGCAGGCTCAGCCCAGAGTTAACTGACCCCTGCTTTGGGTAGGACAGGTAGGGACCTGGGCTCAGTCCTGAGGCCTCTTGGGCAGGTAGGATAGCCACACTCACGGCAAGAACCACAGCAGGGGAGGGAGGGCTGCACAGCCTTGCTGTGTTCGTCCTTGTGACCATGCTGTGTGTGCATGTCCGTGTGTCACTGTGTAGCTCTGTGTCTGTGTGAATGTGTGTATCCATGCCATCCCTGTGTTTCTCCGTGTGGCTGTATGTTCGTGTATCTGTAGGACTGTGAATCTATGTGTTTGTGTGTGACTCCATCTTTGTGTCTGGGCATCTGTGTATCTGTGCATGTCCATGAGCTTGTCCTCATGTCCTTGCGTGTCTGCGGGTGTGTCTGTGTTCATGTGCACATCTGTACATCTCTCAGAGTGTCCCTGTATGTGCATGTGTGTCCCTGTGTATGCACATCTGTGTGTCCGAGTGTCCATGTGTGAGTGCCAAGGGACTCCGCTCCCAGGCCCAGAGTTCACTGCTCACCCCCACTTCGCTGTCCCCAGTGACTCCAGCTCAGACACAGACAGCTTCTATGGTGCAATTGAACGGCCCGTGGACATCAGCCTTTCTCCATACCCCACGGACAACGAAGGTGAGTCCTGTCTGCATCCCGCTCCCTCCATTTCTCCACACATGGCCACGGACAGAGATGAGACGAAGAGTGTTTAGCTGTATTCCCTGCTCTATCCCTTTGGCTCCAGCCTCCAGTTGTCTGGGTTCTGGGTTCAAATCCTGCCTGCTTTGTCCTCACCCTTTGCCTCCCGGACACTCAGCTCCCATGGTTGGAGCACAGTTCTGAGGCTCAGCTGGGCCTAGGTCATGGGTCTTACCCTCCACCTGCTCTCATGCAGACTATGAGCATGACGACGAGGACGACTCATACATGGAACCCGACTCCCCTGAGCCTGTGAAGCCTGAGGGTAGGTGGGCCAGATGGGCTGGGAACTCTTGGTGGGTGGAGAGTGGGGGCCGGCTCACATCAGCTTGGGGGATGCTGCCTTGGGATTGTCCTAGGTGGCCTCAGTTTCCCTGCTCTGGCCCAAGTAACATGAGGATCAGAGCAGGGGAGTGGTCCTCGCTGGCCTGCTCTGCTCATCCGCTCCCAGCTCCCACGTTAGCCACGTGGGTGGAGGAGGGAACACGAGACAGGTAACAGGTGGGGCCAGGTTACTTGGGGCTGGGTGGCATAGGAAGGACAGTGCAGAGTGGGTGGGCCCAGGGCAGGTCCACTCTCTGGGGCTGCTGGCTCTCTGAGCATGGCTGTAGGCCAGCCAGTCACCCTGCCAGCCCACCTCCTAAAGGACACGGCTTGTCAGGGAAACCGGTGGATGCAAGCCATCATATGTCTGAGTGACGGGGATGTGCAGGGCTGGGTGGGGAGGGTGTGCTCTGCCTTCTGTCCCCCTTGCTCTACCCATTGGGCCCTCTGCAGAGCCCCTGTCCTGGCTCCTTCATCTAATCGTGTCTTCTCTATTTCATTATCAAACAACCCTCCTTCTGTCCTGGCCTCTCCACTCACCAGGCTCTTGTCCTTGGTGACATGGCTTTTGCTCAGCTCATCCTCCCACTCTCCTCTTCGTCACAGGCCCATAGCCCCCTCCTCGCCGGCCGCACCGCCCTCTGCAGCCCCAGCTCCAACAGTCCCTCAGCCCACCTGTGCGCCAATTGCCTCATCTTCCTCCCACACAGAGCCCTGCCTTGCCAGGGTCCACCATGTCTGCCTCCTCACCCTGTCTCTCTCGCCTCACACTTGAACTTGGGCTCTCCATCTCTCTGTCCCGAGCTGTAGCCAGTGTGAGGAAATGACCTGCATGGCACAGCTTGTGTGGTCCTGACTGTGTCCTGGCCCACCCGCTCCAGTCAGGCTTTCTGTCCCAGCCTCTCCCTAAAACCTCCCTCATCAGGGGCCTGGAGGCCTCCCTTTTCTTAAACCCAGTGCTCAGCCACCCGTAAGTCTCATCTGGCCTGGTACTTGCTCCTAGAGAAGTGCCCACTCCCAGGGGCACAGGCCTTGCTCTCTGGGTGGCAGTGTCACTCACAGGCTGGTGATGAGTCACACATCCAGCTGGGACCCCTAAACTCTGGATTGATGTTCCTGACAGTCCGTGCCACCTTCCCTGGACATCGCAGAGCACCCTTATCTCGCCATAAACAAACACAAACCTTCATCTTCCTCCCAGTAGCCCCTGCGCTGTTCTCACCTCTGTCATCTGAAATCCCAGCAGGCTTCCCCTTGCTCAGGCCAAGCCCTGGGAATCCTCTTTCACTCTTCTCCTCCCTCACGTCTGCCTCTAGGAACCTGATACCCCCCGTGTGGCATCTAGGTTGAGGCTTGTGTGAGCTGCTATGTGGAAGCTGGGCAGGGAGGGCCAAGGTGGTCTGGGATCCCAGAGGAAGACTGCCTAGAGTGCTAGGCATCAGGCCACAGGGCTAGGCAGGTACAGGTGGGGCTACGATGTCCAGCCAACCATTGCCAGCAGCGGGTGGTATTGTCCAGTCTCCAGGCGGTGATCCTAACCTGGATCTCTTTGCTCTGCAGATGCCCTGACCCACCCACCGGCCTACCCACCACCCCCAGTGCCCACACCCAGGAAGCCAGCCTTGTCTGACATGCCCCGTGCTCACTCCTTCACCTCCAAGGGCCCAGGCCCCCTGTTGCCACCCCCACCCCCAAAACGCAGTCTCCCTGATGCTGGTCTGGGTCCTGAGGATTCCAAGAGGGACCCACTGGGCCCAAGGTGGGCTGAGGCTGGCCCCAGGATGCCTGCTACACCTCGAAGGATGAGCGACCCCCCGCTGGGCAGTGTGCCCACTGTGCCTGTCCTCCGGAAACACCCTTGCTTCCAGGAGATCGCCAGCCCTGGCTTGGAGCCCCGGATCCCCAGCCACGGAGCTACCTCTGCCTCCAGCTCTGCCTCTGTGACCACTGCCACATCCAGGAACTGTGACAAACTCCAGTCCTTCCACCTGTCACCCCGGGGGCCACCCACCTCTGAGCCCCCACCTGTGCCAACCAACAAGCCCAAGTTCCTAAAGATAGTTGAAGAGGCCCCCCACAGGGATGCAGCCAGGCCTGGACTCTTTGTGCCCCCTGTGGCCCCCAGGCCTCCTGCACTGAAGCTGCACACATCTGAGACCACAGCTCGACCTGCAGTCATGCCCAGGCCAGAGAAGCCGCCACTCCCCCACCTGCAGTGAGTCTGCTCTGTGGCCAGTACCTCTGCCTCCCAATCCCCGGGTCCCCTCCCTGACCTGGCCCCCAACTGGTGTCCTGCCTTTGCCCCCACCTCCCATCTTGACATATAAGCCCATGATGGGTACCAGTCCTCCAGGGTCAGGAGAGGGGTGGGAGCTCAGCTGTGAGCCCCTCCATGCCAGCGTACTTCTGTGGCCCTTCTTTTTTAAAAAAAAATTTTTAGAGGCAGATTTTTGCTATAGGGCTCATGTGCTCACTGGAGAGAGAGAGAGAAACAGGAATCACCCACCCCACAGGGGGGATGGCCATGCTGCAATCCCTTCTCCTCCATTCCCTTCTCAGGATTTTGGGCATGCATGCACACAAGCCTGGAGTGAATTTCAAGCCTCCAGGTCCAGGACTGGAACTGCAGTAGGCCATGTGGGAGTCCACTCCCGGCCCCGCCTGGGACTCCGGGTGTGTCTCCAGCCCGGGAGCTCCTAAGGTCGCCTTTGTGTGCTTCCTGGTTGGGAAATTGCTGGAATGTGGAGCATGTCCATGACTCAGCCTGTCAGGAGATGTCAGGAAATTAGCGTGTCCCTCCGTCCCACAGGGTCATCCACACTAGTGACCCATGGTTAGAGGCATCTGGTGGGATAAAGGCCCTGGGGCCTGGAGGGCAAGCTTCACATAGGTGCTCTAGCCCAGATGTCCTTGACGGCAACCACTTTTCCCCAAGGCTCTCTTAGCATTCCGAGACTCCTGTTGCCCATGGGAAAGGGCCTGCAAGAGCTTCTGCCACACTCATGGTTCTATGTCGGGAGGGCCGCAGAGGTGTATCCACTCGGTAGTCATTGTGCTAAAGCCTGGGTCTGGAGCCACAGGCCATAGGGCTGTGTGTGCTGAGAGCCAGGAGCCATTGTCTAGGGCTCAGTCCCTCCCAGCAGCCCACCAGTGAGATGCTCACACTTCCGCCTCCTTTAGTCCTTCCGGAAACCTCAGAGGTTTGGCCAAGGAGAACCACTTGGCCATGTGTGTGGGGCATGCAGGGCTCTCGGGGTGTCCTGCAGAGTCAGAGCACATTGTCTGTTCTAATCATATCTATCTACTCCCCTGCAGCTCTGAGGGCTGTGACTTGGCCAAGCCGTTATAGCTGGTCAGCTGCAGAGCTAGGCTGAGAACCCCTTCACCAGTAGTGTCTAGGGCACTTTGTCCATAGTGAGGACACCTAAGCTCAGGATCCTCCCCCCTTTGCTTCCATCAGTGGCAACTCTGGCCCCCAACTTAGGTTCCTAGGCCTCAGGCGATTCCTGCTACCCCAGGGAAGTCGTCCTTTCAGCCTAGGTCTTAAAACCACAGGATCCATAGCACGTAGACCCACTCGATGCAGATGCTGAACTTGGCATGGTCACACAAAGATAGTGTGGAGGGGAGCAGAGGGTGGCGTGTCCTATGTCTGACAGTGATGTGGTGTCAGCTTCCTCTCCTTGTCACCCTCAGGCGATCACCCCCAGACGGACAGAGTTTCAGAAGCTTCTCCTTTGAAAAACCCCGACAACCCTCGCAGGCTGACACTGGCGGGGAGGACTCAGATGAGGATTATGAGAAGGCAAGGCTGAGCAGAGCCCAGATTCCATCTGGCCAGTGGGTGGCAGGGAGAGCTGTCAGCCAACGTGGCCCTTTGCACCCTGGAACAGAGGGGTTGGAACACTGTGCAGCCCTGGGTCCTGCTGCATGGCAGCTGGTAGAGGGAGTGGTGACGTGAGGGCTCACTCAGACCTGACAGGGACCACTGCTGGCCTCTTCCAGGTGCCGCTGCCCAACTCAGTCTTCATTAACACCACAGAATCCTGCGAAGTTGAAAGGTCAGTGCCAAGTCCTTGGTTTTGCAGGGACAAGGTGCTAGGTCCCCTCCTGCACCTGCCTTCCTGTTTCTTTGTCCCCTTCACTGGTACCAGGACACAGCCAAATGCAGTGGCAGCCAGAGAATGGTAGATCCCATCAGCTCTGTCCACTCTGGCCATCACCCGGGCTGGCCCAAGCTCTCCATAACTGGCTCTCCTGGCCTCTTGGCACACATCACTTTCAGAACCTGAGACCAGAATAGCAAGAGGACAAGAGACCGAGTTGAGGAGGGGGGCTGGAGGATCTCCATTAACGTTTTCTGAGCAGGGGTCACCTGTCAACAACTGTGTTATTTTAGGCTATTCAAAGCCACGAGCCCCCAGGGAGAGCCCCAGGATGGACTCTACTGCATCCGGAACTCCTCCACCAAGTCAGGGAAGGTGGGTGAGAACATGACATGTGCTGGCCGTGACCATGTGGGGCATTGGCCCAGTGGGTGGGCAGGATTTTACGGTTTATGATCACTTCCGTGTGCAGCTCTCACTTGACATCTCAGCTGAATCTGTCCTTGGGGTTTGCCCTGGCAGCACCCCATCTATTCTCAGGAACATCGCCTGCACATCAGAAGCAGTGATAGCCTCCAGCAGGGGCTTGAAAGGGGAGGGAAGGACTGGAGGCTGCAGGAATCTGGGATGGGGTGGGTTTGCCCCCCATGGAGGCTTGGGGGAGTGGGAATGGCGGGTGCCCTACTGGATTTGCCTGTATCCCTCCAGGTGTGATGTAGATTATCTCACTGAGTATTGGGGTTACAGGTGGAGAGACACCTGCTACTGTTACCATGTGGTCCCGCTGGCAGGGATCTGGACCCCCAGCATGGTGGAGCACTACCACCCTGGGCCGTGGGACCCAGCATTGACACCCTGCCTTCCCCGAGGGCTCTCCGGGCACACTATCCTGCTGCCTCCTTGCTCAGCTCTTTGCTTGCCACTCCCCTCCCTGTAGGTTCTGGTCGTGTGGGACAAAACCTCCAACAAAGTGAGGAACTACCGCATCTTCGAGAAGGTAAGGGCTTGGGCCCCACTCTAAGAGTCCTGGGTGGGTGGAGACCCTGGCCCTGGGGCTCAGCAGGGGCAGGCAGAGTCTCCCTGACAGGTGCGGGCAGTGGTGGACTGAGACTGGCACTTCCAAGACACACCCTTCTCCTGCCATCCACTTTTCCCTTGTTCCCACCTCCTCCAGTGCCTCCGCCACTGCCTCTCCTTGCCTGGCTTTGTCCTCAGCTGGCCCTAGAGAGGATGGGTGTCAGCCTGGATCCAGGGTTTATTACATACTGTGCCTGCAGTGCCCTAGTACTTGAGTGTGGGAAAAATGGCAGGGACTTAGCACAGGCCTGATGTAGAGGCAAATATGGAAGCGATATGTGATAGGTAGGAGCCGTCCTGACAGGCACATGGGGCAAAGAAAACTGCTTGGAGTGGCGGGCTGGCCCAGCCCTACTGACCTATAATCCTCCCACCCTTTCCACAGGACGCTAAGTTCTACCTGGAGAGCGAGGTCCTGTTTGTGAGTGTGGGCAGCATGGTGGAGCACTACCATACGCACGTGCTGCCCAGCCACCAGAGCCTGCTGCTGCAGCACCCGTACGGCTATGCTGGGCCCAGGTGATGCCTGCCCTGCAGCACTGCCAGGCACAGATGGCCACAAGGCCCACAACTCCACGCCATGCAGATGGAGACTGGCCTACATGGGAAGACGAACAGGAATGAGGGGTGCAAAAAAGGTTGCCCTTGACCCAAGACCTCTTGGACACCCTGTAGAATTGGGCCAGGTCCCACCCAGCAGGCTGTGTTCCTTGGGCTGGACCAGGCTTCAGGCCCCAAAGGAATAGGGAACTTTCTTACCCTGCACTGCCCTGCCCTGCCCTACCCTGCCCAACCCTGCAGGAACCTGAGACCAAATGCCAAGCCCTGCCTGGACTTCAGGCACAGGAAGTCTGGTCTCCTCAGCACACCTACCCTGCAGGAGGGCTTGGAACCAGATGAGGCTGGGGCAGTCATGTGGGTGCTGGGGCTGGCCCCAGGATCCCAGAGGAACGCTAAGACACAGGCTCCAGGAGGGGCTGTTGCCTCCCAATAAAGCAGAGATGACCTTAGCCTTGGTGGTCAAGGCTTGATTGGGAAGGAGGGGGTAACTGATGTTACTGAGCAACCACACTGATATCCAGGTGTTACAGCTGGTGGGAACCCTAAGAGGTCTTCCTGTGTTCAGGTATGGATTGCTGAATGACTTGTACAGGGTGCACAGCTAGATCAGTACCCAAACTCAGGCTCAGAGACCACACTGCAGAGCTAATGGGCCTCACATCAGCAGCTGGTACATTCACTGCATTTCCAAATGTTATGGGTGCCTGGCCTGGGGCCTGAGCTGGGTGTGCACTATGCGCAGGCCCCGGGCTGGCCTGGCTGAGCTCAGCCCAGTGTGGGCTGACACACTGGCATGCCACATTCATAGCACAGCATGTAAGGTAGCTGGGCGTGCAGGGGCCAGGAGCTTGAAACCCAGCCGGGAGATCCGAGGCGTCCTGGAGGAAGTAAGAGCTACAATGGGTCAGGAAGAGTGGGTTGAATGGTGGGTGGGGACAGTGGTACCCAGATGTCAAAATCTTCCAGGTGGTACCAATCAGGTCCAGCTTGATTGGTCCCCTCACTTTCTGCATGACTCTTTGCTGGAGGCTACTCTCTGGCACATATGGGTTGGGTTGTTTTTGTTGTTGTTTTCTTAAGAATTATTTATTTAATAATAAATATTGGCAGCCCCTGCTTCTTTCCATCAGAAATTCCCTGGCTGACCTTGTAAGTGGCGTGCAGTGGTGCCAAACTACATTTCATTTCATCTAAAACTTAACCCTATTTCCTGTCCCCTTGGAAACAAATAGGGGAAATTGGTTTTCTGTACAACATAAAGATCACCAGAGCAGGGTGAACATTTTCTAAAAGTGGAAATGCTTCAGACACAAAACAGTACTTGGTAAAGTGTTTCATTAATTACCTCTAGGGTCTTGGCTCAGCTAGGGCCTGCACAGCCTGCTGTGTCGAACTCTGCCATCACATCGTGCATTTCAGAGGGAGCAGAGGCAGCCCTGACACCAAATCATAGAGCGGGGGTGGCGCCTGCGTGAGCCAGGACACATGCTGTGTTCATCTGATGGACGGTCACGCCACTTGGGATCCCAATCGCATTTGCTTTGGCTGCTTTTTTGAATTCTGTTAATTACCTAGTGTAATCAATGGAAAATCCTTCTCAGGCTGAAACATTGTTATAAAGCTACTGGTTCAGATACTGATGATCAACAGACTATTAAAAAAAAAAAAATCCAACAAACACCAGATATATTTTGCTGTAAAAGCCAGGGTACACCATTCCCAACCATCACACAAAATAACCTTGAGTTCTACTTCTCATCTCTATCATTTTCCCCAGAGGTCTTCACTCACCTTTTCTCCAAAGAAGCAAACATAACCACTTACACCTTAAAAACCATGGATCTTTTTCCTCAGGAGCTTTGAATAGTTTCCTATGCAATGCGTCTTGTAGCACAATTTTAATTCCACACAAGTTGTAGTAAATTTTATTTGGATTTTTTTAAAAAGATGAATTGTATTTATTATTATTATTTTTACTTTTAATTTGCTATAGGGTATGTGCACTCACCAAAGAGAAAGCGAGAGGGAAGATGAGAAAGCAAGCTGCCAGGTCTGGGACCCATGGGGGAGTCCAGTGCCTTAACCACCATGCCCCTTGCTGGCCCTCAGGTTGGATTTTTCGTGTGTGGAAACATACTCAACTCAGGGTCAGGGCGAGTAGGGGCCATCTAACTCTCACTGTGCTCACGTTGAGGAGGAAGGTTGCTATGCAAAACCCGAACCAAAGCTAGTGCTTACCCCAACCAGTCAGTGGCTAATCATCCCCAGGAGAGGGCTCTTTGGACACCCTGCTCCCAGGCCCTCGCATATTCTGAGGGCACGTGGTTTGCTAGAGGAGAGGTGAGGCAGGTGGATGTGGGAGGCTGCAGCCCTAGGATGCCATGCTACGCGATGGGACAAAAGGCCTTACAGGTGAGTGGCCACCTGCTTCCAGGAACTGGTGTTCAACGCTGTCCCTGCAGATGTTTCCTCTTCAGCCGACCCAGGGGAGGGCTCTGTGCACCACTGGTGAGTTCGGGGCACAAGGAGCTTATAGTGTTGTGAAACATCTCTGGAAAACCAGCCAGTGAACCTCCCTGTGGTTGAAGTTCTTTGCCCTGAACTCTCCTGGGGACTCAGAGAGGATGCAACTCCCTACTTTAGTTTTACAGGAAGGGCTGGAGTTTCCCTTCCTGTAAAATGTTTAAATGGGGGATTGGATCAGAGAAGTGGTTTCTAGTCGGTGTTTGGGGGCCTGTTGAGCTGGGAGTTTGCTGAAAAATTCTGGTGGTTTTATTTAGTGTAGTAATCCTGGAACCCACTCAGTGGTCAAAATGTTTAGTCATGGGATGCATAACATTGTTTGGGTCAACAACTGTGGTTCTGTAAGGTTATAATGAGCTGAGCTCCAGCTATTCTGGAGTCTGAGACAGGAAGATCACAAGTTTGAGGCCAGCCTGGGCAACACAGAGGGGAAAAAATTATAATAGGCTATAGTGTAGGTTTGTGTATGTACACTCTACAATCGCATGGTGATAAAATTGCCTAACGATGCATTTGTCAGGATGTATCCCCATTATTAAGTGACACATGACTATACTTGCAGACCCCCAAACATGAAGGTTTGGGGGTTCTGGGACCCATAACCAAGTAATAGGTCCTTCTGGCCTGGTGGACAACTGAGGCCTGGAGCTGCCTGAGGCCCACCCCAGGACCTGGCCCAGCCTTGCCTCACCTCTCAGCCTTTGTGCCTGCTGGCTCAGCTGTCTGCCTCTTGGTGAACTACACCCAGGCCCAGGGCCTCGATTGCAAGAATGTGTGCATAGGGTGTTGGGTGGTACCCAAGGCCATGGTCAGTATGATCGAGGAGTTTCAGGGGGTTCCTATCCCCTCCCGCGACGCACCATGAGTTTATCCCACATACGGGACTGAGGGCTGACGTTTACCATTCACTGAGCTCTTTACGTGTTTGAAGCACTGAGCCGAGTCTTTGACGTTTTACAGGTCCCATTTTACAGAACTGAGACTCAGAGGATCAGGTTAAAATCTGAGCTCTGCCACTCACCATCATGGGACCCCGTCGGTCCTTCACACCTCTGAGCCCAAATCTAGCTCCCTACCACTCTGCATGGTCCAATAGTCATTGTAGTGTTATCTAGTCAATTTTGCCTGCCTCCCAGAGTTCTGGGGGTACCCTCAACCAGCCAAGGGGGCCAGGGTCTGAGTTTGGTGGGGAACCAAACTGCCCTGCCTCACTCTGCCTTGCCATCCAGGTCCCAGTCTCCGAAGGTAGGCTGATAGAAAGCTCAGGCCCTGCTCTGGGGGCAGTCCTGCTTCCTAATTTACATGCAGTGAAAAGAAGCCCAGAGGGAACCAGCAGTTAGTGTAATGGCTATGTCGCTGGACTCCCACGTAGTTGACCGCGGTTCGCGTCTCGGACCCGGTGGCTTAAATCTCACGCCGGGCGCGTGTGCGTGCGTGCCCAAGATCCCGAGAGGAGAATGGAGGAGAAGGGATTGCGGCGTGACCATCCCCCCTGGGAGGTGATTTCTCGCTTTCTGTCTCTATGTCTCTCTCTGTCTGTCTGGCGAGCGCACGCACCCTATAGCGAAAAACCTCTCCAAAAAAAAAAAAAAAAAAAAGAAGAAGAAGCCCAGAGAGCTCACCGTGATGAGTCCAGAGGTAAGTAAAAGTTCAAGGCTTGGGAAAAGGGCCCGACACTTCGGTAAGGTTCCCTGGGCCAAGGATGAAACATGATTTTACTTTACCTATAATTAATCTGAAAAAGTGATTAGCCCCCATGCCTAACGTTAATGGAGATTTTATTGTAAGAAAATGTTTTTTCCTCTTATGAGAGAGAAAAAGGGAGAGACAGAAGTCTTTTTTTTTTTTTTTTTTTTAAGGTTTTTGCCATAGAATGCATGTGCTCACCAGAGAGAGACAGAGAAAGTGAGAAACCACCCAGGGGTGTGTGTGTGGCCACATTGCAATCCCTTCTCCTCCACCCTCCTCTCGGGATTTTAGGCACCCACTTTCTTTTTTGTTTTTTTAAAGAATTATTTATTTAATTTTATTCATTCATTCATTTTTTTGTTCTTTTTTTTTGGAGAGATTTTTGCTATAGGGCACGTGCGCTTGCCAGACAGACAGAGAGAGACAGAGAGACAGAAAGCAAGAAATCACCCCCCAGGGGGGTTGGCCACGGCACAATCCCTTCTCCTCCGTTCTCCTCTCGGGATCTTGGACACGCACGCACATGCGCCCGGCGTGAGTTTAAGCTGCCCGGTCCAGGACTTGAACCGCGGTCGACTACATGGGAGTCCAGTGACATAGCTATTGTGCTAACTGTTGGTCCCCATTCATTCATTGTTATTCTAATTTGACCAGAGAGAGAGAGAGAGAGGAAGCGAGAAAGCAAGCTACCAGGTCTGAGACTTGAACCATGGTCAGCCATGTGGGAGTGTCCAGCACATTAATTACCACACCACCAGCTGGTCCCCTGGCACTCACTTTCAGGTGCCAGGTCGGGTTCAAACTGTGGTCAGTCACAAGGGAGTACAGCACCTTAACCACGATGCCACCTGC